CAGATGAATGCATTCCGGTTGATATAATCTCAAAGGACTTAATATAAATGGCCAAAAACCTGTAACATAGACCAATGGGTTTGCAGAAGTCAAAGCAGAAAACTAAACATTATCTTGTATAAAAGTGAAAAATCATTAATTGTTTCCATTTTAAACTGACTTCCATAAACACTAAAAGTTCCGAGGTTTGAGACATGGATAATGATAAGATTGATATCTTTGCCATTATTTTCTGCACTCGATTTAAAGCTGCTCCTGCCTGGCTAGGATTTACCTGTGGCAGACGTACCTACAGGTGTGTGGAAACATCTGATATGAAGGTCTTTCTCCCCACAATACCTTCACCACAAGAAGCAGTTCCTACAATTTCCCCCTTATCACAGATTACATGTCAGATTAGGATGAAAAAATGTTGATGTCTGAATCAAGTTCAAAGAAATCCTCCACTGCTCTATTCATAACTCTCTGAAGGAAATTAGTGACGCAGTTTTAATTCTTAACCGTTTCCTGCTGTATTGAGGGACAGAATCTGATGGATTTCTGATGAACTGCACCTAAATCTGATATTTACTGGAAAGACTGAAGCATAATTTAACTACCACTGAAAGATTACATTAAGATAGAGGTCACTTAAAACATAATACCACGATAGAATTTCTCCCAATAAAAAATATTACTGACAATATCCCTTGTGTAGAAATATGTAGAAAACAAAAAACTTTGATTGTCAACAATGAGGATTTTTTCACAACCTATCCACAAAAAAGATTTTAAGAACAGACTACTACTTTTACATATTTAGAATATCAAATTTTTTGGACTTTACATATATGTAAGTATTTGACCTATTAACAGCACCCAAGGGGATTTAAAATTATATTGTTTTCAGTTCTCTATTCTAGAAATTGATACACTAACCAATGAAATCTTTTGGAATCATCTACTGCTGTATGAATGGTGAAGACACCTTAGGGAAGGGATGAAGAGCTGCTTTGGGAAAATAATAATTTGAGGAAATAGGTTTCTAAATAAAAGTGTCCGTTCCCGATACACTTAAAATAATAAAAAAATATTTCAACAAATTATTAATAACCGCTTTTCGAGGTATTTCCTGAGCCCCCAAGATTTTTATTTATAATTAGTTATCCTTAAACAGAATTCAACCAACCAGGACATAATTTTTTGAGGTTGTTAGAATTCAGTCGTACATATAAGACTAATATCTACTGATCCCTATTTACACTGCTAGATAAAAGAATGATGCAAGTACGGGATGAAATATTGGACAAGAAATAGTGCCCAGGGTGTAACTATCTGTATGACAAGCATCTAGATACTGTGGCTGAGGAGGTCAGATACCGCAGCCCAGTAGGTATGGACAGTGTCCAGCAGACATAGCTGACCAAGTCCATTAGTTATACAGGTAAAGACTTGGCTGGTCCTAGACTATAACACAGAATTCTTACCTGGTGGTGACACTTCAGACAAGTTCATTAGTTGTGGAAGGTCATACGAGGGCAGAAATGTGATGTGAACACAGGATAATGAATTAAACCCAGGTTGTTAGACGCAAAAAGGTCTCCAACTAATTATAATTTTTCATATTGCATTATAACAAAATATTCTTAGAATCATAAATTGAAACCAAATTAAACTTTTATTCCTTGAGGATTCAAATATTAGTAGAACTGACCTGTTTAATGTGCGCTTCACCTGAATGACTAAATGAATGTTAGGAGGTCAACACAAAATTATTTAACCTTTCACAACTGGCATGGTCCTCAACACTACTTCTATGAATGATGCATTGAGTTTTATTTGCTCCATAACTTCCTAGGTTAAGGTTTACCGTACAATGATAATCTGCTTTATTCTCATATCCATAACTTGTATCTGTGTGAAGGATAATTTACAGTCTATCTATACAAACACGTCGTTTCCTACTCCATCTTGACCTATCTATGATCACTGTACAGCCAGTAGTTATAGATCTATAGATCTGTATTCAGAAGATGACAAACTGTAATAGATCCCCCTAGATACATTATCAATGTAAAACAGTTACAACACTATAGCTCTCACAAAGAGTGTCTGTACAGTAATCCATCTCTTCCCGAACAGACCATCAACATATATCTGCTAAACGTCAGGCTTCTAAAGAAAGCTGTCAATATCTAATCTATAACCCTGTTTCTATGATCATCAAATATTTTGACACTTGTTTTTTGAAGAAAAATGTCAAACCTTATCCATCATGTGTTTTACGATAACCTGGACACATGTGAAGGTGTTAAGCATGGTGTGTGTGATGGTTGTGACAACTTGAGTTCAACTTCCCGTTGTGCTGTGTGTCACCTTTGATGTGGAAATATGACCTTTTTTATGGCTTGTCACCACTGACAGGCCAATTACCTGTGTTCTGTAACACCAGCTGTTTCCTCTCTAACTTCCACCCGTGTTCTGTAACACCAGCTGTTTCTTTCTAACTTCCACCCGTGTTATGTAACACCAGCTGTGTACTCTCTAACTTCCACCCGTCTTCTGTAACACCAGCTGTGTCCCCTCTAACTTCCACTCGTGTTCTGTAATACCAGCTGTGTCCTCTCTAACTTCCACTCGTGTTCTGTAACACCAGCTGTTTCTTTCTAACTTCCACCCGTGTTCTGTAACACCAGCTGTTTCCTCTCTAACTTCCACCCAAGTTCTGTAACACCAGCTGTGTCCTCTCTAACTTCCACCCGTGTTCTGTAACACCAGCTGTGTCCTCTCTAACTTCCACCCGTGTTCTGTAACACCAGCTGTGTCCTCTCTAACTTCCACCCGTGTTCTGTAACACCAGCTGTGTCCTCTCTAACTTCCACCCGTGTTCTGTAACACCAGCTGTGTCCTCTCTAACTTCCACCCGTGTTCTGTAACACCAGCTGTGTCCTCTCTAACTTCCACCCGTGTTCTGTAACACCAGCTGTGTCCTCTCTAACTTCCACCCGTGTTCTGTAACACCAGATGTTTCCTCTCTAGCTTCCACCCGTGTTCTGTAACACCAGCTGTGTCCTCTCTAACTTCCACTCGTGTTCTGTAATACCAGCTGTGTCCTCTCTAACTTACACCCGTGTTCTGTAACACCAGCTGTGTCCTCTCTAACTTCCACCCGTGTTCTGTAATACCCTTCCACCCGTGTTCTGTAACACCAGCTGTGTCCACTCTAACTTCCACCCGTGTTCTGTAACACCAGCTGTGTCCTCTCTTACTTCCACCCGTGTTCTGTACCACCAGCTGTGTCCTCTCTAATTTCCACCCGCGTTCTGTAACACCAGCTGTGTACTCTCTAACTTCCACCCGTGTTCTGTAACACCAGCTGTGTCCTCTCTAACTTCCACAAATGTTATTATGTCATGGCCATCTTAATGTACCAATGACGAATGCATTAACAAAGATCTGTTCCTGTTTTCAAAACATTATTGTTATTTTAAATATTTTTTTTTGCTTGTACAAAATGCTGTTTCATTTTGGAACAAGAAGCTCAGATGGTCTGTATAGCTCACCTAAATATTTAGACAATCATGGCAAATTATTCTCATTAATAGAAAGCATATCCCCATTTTGGGGTCTGTCTCTCAGTACCAATGGGGACAACACCCTTCTTTTATACCACATCAGGTTTCCAAAATGAAAACAGCAAATGGTCAAAATACAATCAACTGGTCTGGAGGAGTAGGTTTTTAAATATAAAACACTGAAATTTTCCCTTCCGAGCTTAGCCGTCAGCCCCTGGGGAACGACTTTTCTTACACAACTGATTCCTAGGTCTCAAGGTCTTTTTATGCCTAGCAATTGTTTATATAGGGTGGTATAATCTCAGCATTTTACTAGGACACCAGGGGCAGGGCTGGACCAAGGTACTAGCTTAAGTAGCATGATTGTGTTTGTCTATTCATGTCTAGCAATTGTATATATGGTTATAAGGAGGTTTCCTTGTCATAACCAAAGGACTAAATTGCAAGTGATCAATCCTTGAGGTATGATTGATTGTGTAATATCTTCATGCCTTGGGTGCGTGTACATTTATGTACGTTTAATATAGCATATGTGTACATTTATGTGAATTTGATCTAACGTACAATGTCCATTTATGTGAGTTTGGTTCAGATACACATGTGTTTGTGTATGTACATGTATGTACCACATCACATGACATACCAAACATCACCAGCCGTACTTACCAGTAATTAAGCCACAGGTATGTACCACATCACATGACATACCACACATCACCAGCCATACTTACCAGTAATTAAGCCACAGGTATGTACCACATCACATGACATACCACACATCACCAGCCATACTTACCAGTAATTAAGCCACAGGTATGTACCACATCACATGACATACCACACATCACCAGCCATACTTACCAGTAATTAAGCCACAGGTATGTACCACATCACATGACATACCACACATCACCAGCCATACTTACCAGTAATTAAGCCACAGGTATGTACCACATCACATGACATACCACACATCACCAGCCATACTTACCAGTAATTAAGCCACAGGTATGTACCACATCACATGACATACCACACATCACCAGCCATACTTACCAGTAATTAAGCCACAGGTATGTACCACATCACATGACATACCACACATCACCAGCCATACTTACCAGTAATTATGCCACAGGTATGTACCACATCACATGACATACCACACATCACCAGCCATACTTACCAGTAATTATGCCACAGGTATGTACCACATCACATGACATACCACACATCACCAGCCATACTTACCAGTAATTATGCCACAGGTATGTACCACATCACATGACATACCACACATCACCAGCCATACTTACCAGTAATTAAGCCACAGGTATGTACCACATCACATGACATACCACACATCACCAGCCATACTTACCAGTAATTATGCCACAGGTATGTACCACATCACATGACATACCACACATCACCAGCCATACTTACCAGTAATTAAGCCACAGGTACGGTAGGTCAGCCTTTATCAACTCTCCGGTCACACCCTCTTTATATGGGGGAGGTTGGAAGGTCAACGGAACAGCTTCATCTAAAAGTACGCTGTTACAAAAAACCCACAGGGCATATGAAAATGTATGATTTTTAATTCCTTTGGCTTGCCATTTTTACCGAGGATAACTTTGTCACCCCTGAGCCATGTCTCTTTTCTAGGAAAGTCATTTAAAAAATTAAAGAACTTGCAACCTATTCATAACTTTTTCACGATTATGTACAACAGTATTCATTTGAACTTTTTCTCAAAGATAGTGGTTTTTCCTATTTATTTCAAAGATGACAAAATTATCTTTATCAAAACCAGTAAGAGATCTTCCTGTTCATCTTTCAATAAAGAAAGTAAAAGACAATAATAAGAAATGTTTGTGACATACGGACAATACAATAAAGAATTGTTTGTGACATACAGACACTATAATAAAGAATTGTTTGTGCCATACGGACACTATAACATAGAATTGTTTGTGACATACGGACACTATAACATAGAATTGTTTGTGACATACGGACACTATAATAAAGAATTGTTTGTGACATACGGACACTAATTGCTGTGCAGACTATTTACCAAACCATAAACTTATCGTGATCTATGTATACAGACCAGAAGAGCTGGTTGGGATCGACAAATCGTGTCTCTGTGGTGGATACGTCGTAGTAACTGATAATACTTTGCTCAAGACACTCCAGGGCTTTATCTTCCTCTCTCTGGAACAAACAAACATATATGCTCAAGACACTCCAGGGCTTTATCTTCCTCTCTGCAGATAATGAAGTTTCCTCATTAATGAAGGGGCCATAACTCTGCCAAATGGAGTCCAATTAAATTGGTTGTTAAACGTGGCCGAGCCCTTAATGTGTTGAACCCTGTTACTAAACTTGAAGACAATCAGATAATATTTGCGAGAGTTAATGAACAGAAACGGCAGATAATGACGTATTTTGTTATTCAAGGGGTCATAACTCCACCAAATTGGGTCTGCTGTAAGTGGTCATCGAACTTGGCTAAGGCTTTAAGGCATTTAACCCTGTGACCAAGTCTGAAGAAAATCGGTTAACATTGTTGTAGTTATTGCACGGAAACGAAGCGCTGCAGATAATGACGTTTTTCGTTATTCAAGGGCACATAACTCTACCAAATGGGGTCTGCTGAAAGTGGTCATCGAACTTGGCCAAGCCCTTAAGACAGACAGACAGACCCAAATTAGTATCCACCGTTTTTGTGAAAGCGCGGGACAAAAATATCAATATACACTCTGACACCAATAAAATTGACTGTGAAGGAAGGCTCATTATTAGAAAAAGCTCACTGTGACTTTTTACAATCCTTAATTCCTTCCTTTATTAGTTTGTCATGTCTTCTACAATAATTTGTTTCCGTCAATTTTACACATTTTTTCAAGTCATTAAGAAATGAAGTTGCTGCTTTGTCCAATTTTGACTGCAGGATACAGATTTATTTTACATTTATTGAGGGCCAAGCTGTTATGACCTTCCTCCTACAGAGTAGACCAGGAGTAATGGGGCCGACAGCGCATTACAAATCACTACACCAGGTGCTTGGGGGCGACAAATTCAACCCTAACACAAACTTGACACTTCTGTGCCTCAGGGCACCTTCTCTTCTGCATCTTTTGCAGCAAGTGAATTTCAAACAAATTTCTGCGTGTATTGATGAGAAAACATCGTAAATCATGTGAATTCACACATTTCACATAAAAAAGAACTTCTCTTTTAAGTCACCTGCAGCAGAGCTGAGATGAATCACATGTCAGTTTCACTATTACACAATGTGCAAAAAATGGATACCTGACTGGCCAGGAGATAGGCTGTTTTTATACAGTACATCCACATTTCCTTCTTATCTACATTCCTTATCATAATAAATATTCCTCCTAAATTTTGGACACTTTTCTCGCCAAATAGCTAACTAAACATGTCAACAACTTTTACACATGAATTCCTTGTAATGTTTTAGGATATGAATACTTCATGTTTTTCTCCAAGAGCAATGGTTTACTAAATGTGTTACATTTTTTACCTCTGCATCAATCAACCTTGCTATGGCGATGAAAATGAAAGCTTTTTTGTGTGTTATAAATGTAATTTTGAGTTATATATGTAAAATGTTTCATGCTAGTAAGTGAGGGCCTTGTCTCCTCTGTGTGGGACACATCCATTCATACACATATTTAATACGACTACAAAAGAATTTTCTTGAGGTGAGGAAGATTTGAGGCCTATGAACTGTCTTCATGCATTTCTCTAAAAAATCTCATATTTATAAATATCTTGATTCAGGTTTAAACTTAAATTTTGAGCAAGGAAATATGCTCTTATTACATTTTCTAGCATCTTTAGAAACATTAAATATTAAAGCAACAATTGCCATAAAACATCAGAAACAGTAAATACAAATGTCAGCTCAAACCAGATTGTACTTTTGTAAATGTGGACAAAGCGGCAATTACCAATTTAGTAGAAATTAAAATAAAGAAAAAACTGCTAGAGTTTTCAAATACACCAATTGTGGACAAATGTGTTTTGAAAACTGCTCCAGAAACAGTAGTCGTTAGAATGTTTCTGAAGCAACAAATCAGTGGGCCTTTAACCTGTTCATTTGTCATGTGCGTGTTAGGTCAATGATACTTGCTTGTTTGGCCTGTATAGAGGATATACGGCTGCCCTGTAGCTCTTCGCAGTTATCAAAGGGGGTCAGAATTTCATGTCTCGTCTGGGAAACATTTACTCAGGAGATGGAGATGTGGTGAGGGATAAATACATGGGTGTGAGGAATACCTTCTTTGTTGGACTAACGTCTGTCACAAGTTACTCTCTTATAATCAGGGAGACTAACAGACTTTATGGTTAACATGGCAAGGGTGGTCAAAGATGATGTAAGGTGGTTGGGATGGTGGAAGTGTTGGTGGTTTAGCCCCTCAGTTTTACAATTTCAAATCCCGATCACCTTAAGAAACTTCCAGTCAAATTTGATGAAATTCTGGTCAGTGTTTCATTTGAGAAGGTTGTTTGGAGAAATTATATTTCTCCATTTTGGTCTGTTTTACCATTCCTAAATTCTTTAATAAAACAATTTGGTTAAGAATTCCATAAATGTGTTTATGATTATATAATGTGATCTCAATAATTTCAATGTTCAATGAGCATTGGATTAAGTCCCCAAGGATGGAACCAGATTCCAGGCTTAACCTGGTAGCATGCTTGTTACTGATGGATAATCTGTTGAAATTGACAATGCATTTTAAATTAGAAGTGGACAAATCAATTATATCACCAACATTTTTTTAAATTAATAATCAGAATCAGAAACGACAAATATATGGTTATGTATGATGGGGATCTATCTCAACTGTTTACAAGTATGACCTAACGATCAAGTCCCTAGGGGCTGGACCAGACCATTGGCCCATGCTGATAGCATGAATGTGTTATTCTCTTCAGGACCAGCATTTACATATATGATTATAGGGTAGGGATCTTGACTTCCATAAGCTGGAGCCTGGGGCCAATCCTCTGCTTCTTTATACATTATAGCCCATGCTGACTTTTGACCTCAGCAATGTTCAAATTTTACCTTTAAACTTTAACACAATATGATGGAAAAATGTTTGCATTACAGATCTACATAACATGTCACAATATCATAACTGTAGACCTTCGTGATTCTTTATATATTGCTGTTTAAAGATTTTAACATATCTGATTCATGTGATCTTAAAAAGTAGCTCAAGGTCAATGATTTGAGGAAACATAGCATTCTATCCCAGATACCCATTGGTCAAATATCATTACCCAGTGCCTAACAGAACCTAAGAATGTGATTTTTTTACCCATTATAGCCAATGTTAACCTTTGACCCTTACCTGCACTCAAACTTGAACTTTGACCTATACTCAATACAATGTATATGAGAAAAAGATGTGCACTGCTCGATTAAATAATGATAGATAACATAGTATATATAGGTAAGACACTGCCCTCACAGGCACATCAGGCCAAAACCCTCAATATGCAGACAAAATTTAATAGAAAAACATCAATAATGTATAACATACATTGTAATTCCAATCCACTTGATTCCGAGTCAGACTTCATGTTTCATGTTAGATACTACCTGACAGTGTGAGATTTAATGTCTGACAAGAATGACATAACTAGAGGAGTACATGTACAGGTAGGCGTCATATCTATACACAATGACCCAACAGCCCAGCAACACAAAACACTTTTTTGTCATCTTCTATTTCTCACAGTCGCAGCACTTTGATGTGGTCACGAGACAAAAACTAAAAGACCTGATGATGCAGTAACTGTGACAGGTAAAAACAGGTGATTAAAAAAGAATAGCTTACCTGTGAAAGTTCAAAGTTGGCTGCATAGTGGTACAATTTGGCACAGAACTCGTTAGCACCTAGGGCATCTGCGAACACCTGAACAATGCAAATAAATCTGTCAGTGACAACATTACAAATAAATCTGTCAGTGACAACATTACAAATAAATCTGTCAGTGACAACATTACAAATAAATCTGTCAGTGACAACATTACAAATACATCTGTCAGTGACAACATTACAAATACATCTGTCAGTGACAACATTACAAATACATCTGTCAGTGACAACATTACAAATAAAACTGTCAGTGACAACATTACAAATAAATCTGTCAGTGACAACATTACAAATAAATCTGTCAGTGACAACATTACAAATACATCTGTCAGTGACAACATTACAAATAAATCTGTCAGTGACAACATTACAAATAAAACTGTCAGTGACAACATTACAAATAAATCTGTCAGTGACAACATTACAAATAAATCTGTCGGTGACAACATTACATATAAATCTGTCAGTGACAACATTACAAATTCATCTGTCAGTGACAACATTACAAATAAAACTGTCAATGACAACATTACAAATAAATCTGTCAGTGACAACATTAAAAATAAAACTGTCAGTGACAACATTACAAATACATCTGTCAGTGACAACATTATAAATAACTGATACATTATCTTCGGGAAAATACATGTCCACATATGGTCAAACCAAGCATGTATAGTTATACAGTGTATGCAGCCATGTATACTCCTTATAAAAGACAGGTGTGGTATGTCATCATAACAGCCATGTATAAAAGACAGGTGTACGTGTTATGGCATCATAACCAAATAGTAATGTCACATACTCTTAAAGTGAAGAACAGTAAATTGTGGAAACCTCAAAGCAAATAAAAGTTAAAACGATCAATGATTTCCATAATGCCTTGAACCTTATGACCTTGAGGTAGGATTAGCCAGAGATTAATTAGAAATTAGCAGACCTGCAAGATTGCAGGACATATACTGCAAAGAAATGGGACAGCAGCATTGTGATATCATTTGAGATAATAGCATCAAAGATAGGGTTTGAAATATTTACTGTACAATTTGTTCTCATGTGTCTACTCATAACTTTTCAATGCATTTCTTTTTGCTGCTTATTGAAACTTTCCTTTTCTAACTGAAAAGTTTCCAACAAGGTGATGCTATACAATCTAGAAAGTGTTTGTGTCCTACTCTGTTTTAGTCCTATTTACATGATTAGCTGTGCTTGTGTCCTACTCTGTTCTAGTCCTATTTACATGATCAGCTGTGTTTATGTCCTACTCTGTTTAGTCCTATTTACATGATTAGCTGTGTTTGTGTCCTACTCTGTTCTGGTCCTATTTACATGATCAGCTATGTTTATGTCCTACTCTGTTCTAGTCCTATTTACATGATTAGCTGTGTTTGTGTCCTACTCTGTTCTAGTCCTATTTACATGATTAGCTGTCTTTGTGTCCTACTCTGTCCTAGTCCTATTTACATGATTAGCTGTGTTTGTGTCCTACTCTGTTCTAGTCCTATTTACACGATAAGCTGTGTTTGTGTCCTCGGTTCTAGTCCTATTTACATGATAAGCTGTGTTTGTGTCCTACTCTGTTCTAGTCCTATTTACATGATAAGCTGTGTTTGTGTCCTTCTCTGTTCTAGCTCTATTTACATGATTAGCTGTTTCTGTCCTACTCTGTTCTAGTCCTATTTACATGATAAGCTGTGTTTGTGTCCTACTCTGTTCTAGTCCTATTTACATGATAAGCTGTGTTTGTGTTGTCCTACTCTGTTCTAGTCCTTTTTTTCATGATTTGCTGTGTGTGTGTCCTACTCTGTTCTAGTCCTATTTACATGATTAGCTGTGTGTGTGTCCTACTCTGTTCTAGTCCTATTTACATGATAAGCTGTGTTTGTGTCCTACTCTGTTCTAGTCCTATTTACATGATTAGCTGTGTTCGTGTCCTACTCGGTTCTGGTCCTATTTACATGATAAGCTGTGTTTGTGTCCTACTCTGTTCTAGTCCTATTTACATGATTAGCTGTGTTTGTGTCCTACTCTGTTCTAGTCCTATTTACATGATTAGCTGTGTTAATTGCACTTCTGCTCCATTTTCCATAATCTTTTTTTTGTGTCTCACTTTCATTCCATCTTTATACAACCCTTTTTCTGAGATAAAGCCCACTGACTCTGATTTAAATCTGTCCCCCTTTAAGGTGCTATACCATGACATGTTTATTGCTTCTGTATGCATAATGTTTTGGCTATAATCGTAGTTGACGTGTCAATTTTTCCACAAAAAGTGTAATTGACATGCCTTCTGATACCAGCATCCCCCATCAAAGTGCCTTCCTTGTCAGCAGAAACTTTCAAAAACATCTTTCTTATCTTTTGATTTTTTTTTTTAGAATTAATCTAGCTCTTAAAAATTTGAAATCTATCTTGTTACATATATATATAAATATACATCATTGGGCGATTTCCCAAAACCTTTGACCTTCCTACCGTGCAAGGTCGGCCATGTTTCTTTTGATCTTTTTACCTTTACTGATATTGCCTCATTTTAATCCACAGGTGAATTAATTATCCATCAATGTCAGAACTAAGTTTTCTAAATTTTGACAATTTTACACAAAAATGGGATAATTTTCAACCACAAAATAACATCATTTTTGCAAATATATTTAAATTTCTAGCAAACAAACTACAACTGTCCTCTCATGAAAATTAAAGCAAGTTTTTGCATAATTACATTTTGTATTTCCTACATCATCATGTGTCAAATTAAACCCTACACAATATTTTACAAAAAAAAATAATAGAATTTGAAAGAGTCTTCTTTTAGAGTGATGAGATTTTGTTATCTTCACGAAGAATTTCCATTCTGAGAAAAAGCATGTTTCCTACAAAGTAGCTCTTTTTTGATGATCAATTTGTATCTTATATGCAGGCCATCATACCATTTCTATAATAACAAATTGTATCTCTGTGGAGTCCGACACATTTTGAGCTCTCTGATATGAGAAGTTTTGTTAAGAACTATTTTGAGCATAATTTCTGATGAAGGTGTATTTTGAGGAAACCTACATTGACAATATTCTGAGTCTACTTGTCACGCCAGAAGTATTTTGATTATATTTTTGACTATATGGAAACAACTTTGAGTGTACTTGTGAACTTGCAGGTGTTTTCAGTAAACTACTGTATATGAAATACACTAGGTACTTGTCAAATCAGAAGCATTTGAGTGCTCCTGTATGGAAACAGTTTTCATCATACATGTTGAGTTGAAGGTATTTTGAGGGCACTTAGCTGTATGGACATATTTCAGCATACTTGTTAAGTTGAAGGTATTTTGAGGGCATCTGTATTGACAGATTTCATCATACTTATTGAGGGCACTGTATGGACAGATTTCATCATACTTGTTGAGTTGAAGGTATTTTGAGAGCACCTGTACATGTATGGACAGATTTCATCATACTTGTTGAGTTGAAGGTATGTTGAGAGCACCTGTATGGACACAGCTTATTAGTGCACTTGTCAAATTAGGGGTATTTTGAGCATATCTGAAAGGGCACCATTTCAATCATACTTGTTGATTCAGAGTTTTTTCCCCCAACACAGCTCTTGATTCTGCAATGTGTAAATCCTACTTTTCCAGTCTGCACTATTCTGAGCCTATCTATCCATCCATGCAGTGTTTATATTCAGATTGTACCTGTCGAGTCTGCTCGTCATCGTATAAGGCGTAGAGCTCTGCCACACACAGCCAGATATTCACCATGGTCGACTTGGCCTGTAGTATGGGACGGCATAGGTCTGCAGCCTCCTCATACCTGTCAACAAACAATCATATATCTGTCAACACACAATATTATAATCTACATGTTTCCACCTTGACATTTCCATGTATCTAATATCAATGCTACAGATATTAACTCATTATTATTAATGTTTAAATTTTTTTTTTTTTAAATCTTCTTAAAATGTTCAGGTCACGATTTTTCAGAAAATTGGAATTGTGAAGTAATTTTGAAAAGGATTGATTATTTTGCATTAATTATCAGAGATAAACAATACATATTTGTGGAGTTATTCATCCATAATGATTTCATTTTTGTGAACATTTTAATGGCTTGGTTGCTGTAAGCATGGACAGACAAATGCTGATCTAGCTCTCCTCCCCTGGATCCCAACAACTCTGTGAAGGACTTCAGAGCCACTAATTACGCAGACAATTTAACACTGGACTAGCTTTTCTCAACACTGTCTGTCATTTCACTAGGATTTACTACCATTTTAAAATCAGATAAGGGGTGTGCCACATTCATGAGTAAACATTCCATTCAATTAGCCTCATACCAAACTGAAAACACCTCAATACCTGCGATGGTCATATTACAGTGTTCGTGGACCATGCTATATTGTTAAAACATGTTTTGTTTAAAAGGTCCATAACAAGCCATCCTCACATAATGACATCATTACTACCTAGATTAAAGCCCCCGCTTAACTGGATCCCCAGCCCTAACAGTGCCCTAACAATATATCTGTTATTGACGAGACCTGTAACACCTATTCTGTCCTAGTGAAGCTCAAGGCTCCCTGGTCAGTTCTCACTAAAACACTGTACAGTCGATTTCAGTTAGAATCCGATACCACTGCTAGTTTTCAAATATTTACAATAAAGCACAATGCTGATGAATCTGTGAGTTGAGAGTAGAATGGTAGCATATCACTACACTAATAACAGAAAGTGTGTTATCAATAACTAATCAACAGGAGGTGTTATACTGTTCACCCCTTCAGTAGGCCTACTCGGTTGTAATCTAGATTTGGTTAGCAGCACACATTTATACAACCATTTGTAATCACTTGCATCTGTTTGATTATGTACCGCTCCAACACCTCAGTGGCCGATTTACTTAATGTTTAAAAGTAATTCTGTCTGTCTGTCACCTCACTCAAATTACCAACTCAAGAAATGTTTGCCCTGCCTTTCTGTATCTGTGGCAGATCAGACAAGCTGATGCATGGGTCGTGATGGTGTAGATACAACATCTAAAGGCAATACCCAGCCCCATATCCACCTTTAACATCAGGGTTCAACATTGTAGGCTTCACACCTTATGTTCTTAATTGAATTTTTACCTTTAAGGGCGGTTAAAAAAAAAATCACAAAGGAAAAAATTCATATGCATTAATAATTTTGCTTGAAGTTTTGTACAGTCCTAGTATTTCATCTAAGTGTTACCTGTCTCTGATTAAGAAAGTTGGCCTTTTGATGATACGGCCATTTATATGACTTACCAAAAATGAATCCATTCCATTGTTCTTTTTAAACTTTTAACACTCTTATATATATTATTAGTTGTATCTGTCCAACTACAGGCAAAAGAGTCCAGAACCCTTTTCACCTACACACAGTAACCTCCCACTAACGTCCTACGTAAGTATAGCTGGACCTGGCCTCTAGTGTTCTATCATTGACCAGGTAGCTGACCAGGTAGCTGGAGAGGAAGTATAATGATTGTAGATCCTGGCCTGTAGTGTTCTATCATTGACCAGTTAGCTGACTAGGTAGCTGGAGTGGAGTATAATGATTGTAGATCCTGGCCTGTAGTGTTCTATCATTGACCAGGTAGCTGACCAGGTAGCTGGAGAGGAAGTATAATGATTGTAGATCCTGGCCTGTAGTGTTCTATCATTGACCAGTTAGCTGACTAGGTAGCTGGAGTGGAGTATAATGATTGTAGATCCTGGCCTGTAGTGTTCTATCATTGACCAGGTAGCTGACCAGGTAGCTGGAGAGGAAGTATAATGATTGTAGATCCTGGCCTGTAGTGTTCTATTATTGACCAGTTAGCTGACCAGGTAGCTGGAGAGGAAGTATAATGATTGTAGATCCTGGCCTGTAGTGTTCTATTATTGACCAGTTAGCTGACCAGGTAGCTGGAGTGGAGTATCCTGGGTTGGAACCCTGCTGTGGCCCCATGGTAGCTGGAGTGAAGTATAATGATTGTAGATCCTGGCCTGTAGTGTTCTATTATTGACCAGTTAGCTGACCAGGGAGCTGGAGTGGAGTATCCTGGGTTGGAACCCTGCTGTGGCCCCATGGTAGCTGGAGGGGAGTATAATGATTGTAGATCCTGGCCTGTAGTGTTTTATCATTGACCAGTTAGCTGACCAGGTAGCTGGAGAGGAAGTATAATGATTGTAGCTCCTGGCCTGTAGTGTTCTATCATTGACCAGTTAGCTGAGTAGGTAGCTGGAGTGGAGTATAATGATTGTAGATCCTGGGTCGGAATCCTGCTGTGGCCCCATGGTAGCTGGAGGGGAGTATAATGATTGTAGATCCTGGCCTGTAGTGTTCTATTATTGACCAGTTAGCTGACCAGGTAGCTGGAGAGGAGTATCCTGGGTTGGAACCCTGCTGTGGCCCCATGGTAGCTGGAGTGGAGTATAATGATTGTTGATCCTGGGTTGGAATCCTGCTGTGGCCCCGTGGTAGCTGGAGTGGAGTATAATGATTGTTGATCCTGGGTTGGAATCCTGCTGTGGCCCCATGGTAGCTGGAGTGGAGTATAAGGATTGTAGATCCTGGGTTGGAATCCCGCTGTGGCCCCATGGTAGCTGGAGTGCAGTATAATGATTGTAGATCCTGGATTGGAATTCTGTTGTGGCCCCGTGGTAGCTTTACAATCAGAACTTTGTTTCATCTTTACATAATTGCCATCATTTTGAAATGTCCATGGGGGGGATAACGTGTACCCAAGTAATAAACACTTTTGAACTTTTCTCAGATGAAATCAATAGATCTTAGACAATTGGAGTAGTTTAACAAATTCACAGGCTGAAAATTCTCAGTTTCAGGGTTCAAAATCGGGAGTCTCCCTCCAAAATTGGGAGAGTTAGCAAGTATGTCTTTATTATTCTAGTTTTCATAAATATTCAGCAGGTATAGTTTTCTATTCAGAAGTGATCAAAGCTATAATCATGCCAACAAAAATGTTCCCAATTAAGGGTTTTTGGAAGTGATGTCATGGGACCTTTAGAGTTTTTATACACTATTTTACTAAGTTAGAAAACTAAATTTGTCTCAAAATTTTTCAAATAATCCACTTGGAGGAGATCATTTTTCTGTGTCTGTGTTTCATATTTATATTGACAGAAAAAAAATCAGTAGCTTAGAGACATTTTCAGCATTGGCAGAATTACAAGTGAAGATAAATATTGTGCTAATCCTGTGTGAACATTTTGGTACATGGTACACCTGTATATGTATTTATTTTTAAAAGTTTAATTTGTAGTTAGGTTTATAAAGAATATATCTACCTAAAGTCACTGTTCACCTTCAACGAAAATCACAGAAGTTTGAAAGACAGAAAATATTGATTTATAGTTTCTGACAGAAATAGTTGTGCTTAAAAAATCTCCATTTCATATTGATAAAGGTATGATTTAATCATGAATTTGTTGATACTGAACACTGTATAATGTTTAATTCAAATCAGAGCGTTCTACTGAATATGATTACCTAAAAGTACAGTTGCTAACTGATACAAATAACTTCCAATGAGGTTGCCCTTTATTGGGTCTACAATAACATGAACACCATTTACAGTTCATTCATGGGAAATTGAAGTGCCATAAGTTGAACCTTCAGATGGTGAAGGCACCATTGACAGGCTACCTGTCCAGGTAATTACCTGTGTGATCGTTATCATTATATACCTGTACACCTATGTACTCTAGTGGGCCGATACAATCCTATACATTTATGGAGCCATCATTGGTGGAATCCTTTAATATGTGACCGAGGTCTGGTTGTAACATTGTATAATGATAAGGGAAGGCCACATGAATGATAGAAATATTTAAAATCACTTTATCTACCTGTGGACAAAACAAAATCATCTTCTGGCCTGTTCTTGTTAGAAGCTATCTCCAATTTCAAAAATGTCCCATCCAGATTCTATCATGTTCTGTGTGTCTGTGATCACATTTCATAACACATTTATAATTTTCATTCACCTCCTCATTAACAGTGTCGGTCCTGTAGGTATCAGTCATGGTTCTCCACTTAGTTAACATATTATCTATCCTGTAGGTCTATAGCTAACAGATTGTCTGTCCTGTAGACCTACAGGATAGACACTCTATTAACTATAGACCTACAGATTGTCTGTCCTGTAGGTCTATAGTTAATAGAGTGTCTATCCTGTAGGTCTATAGCTAACAGATTGTCTGTCCTGTAGTGTAAATCATGGTTCTCTAGTTAGTTAACAGATTGTCTGTCCTGTAGGTCTATAGTTAACAGAGTGTCTATCATGCAGGTCTATAGTTAACAGATTGTCTGTCCTGTAGGTCTATAGTTAATAGAGTGTCTATCCTGCAGGTCTATAGTTAACAGATTGTCTGACATGTAGTGTAAATCATGGTTCTCTAGTTAACAGATTGTCTGTCCTGTAGTCTATAGTTAACAGAGTGTCTATCACGCAGGTCTATAGTTAACAGATTGTCTGCCCTGTAGTGTAAATCATGGTTCTCTAGTTAGTTATCAGAGTGTCTATCCTGCAGGTCTATAGTTAACAGATTGTCTGTCCTGTAGTGTAAATCATGGTTCTCTAGTTAACAGATTGTCTGTCCTGTAGGGCTATAGTTAACAGAGTGTCTATCCTGTAGGTCTATAGCTAACAGAGTGTCTGTCCTGTAGGTATAAATCATGGTTCTCCAGTTAGTTAACATATTATCTATCCTGTAGGTCTATAGCTAACAGAGTGTCTGTCCTGTAGGTATAAATCATGGTTCTCCAGTTAGTTAACATATTATCTAT